GCGATCATACACTCAAGACGAAGAAGAAAAAAGATTTGACAAGACGGAGGATTGAGGTTAACTCCTGCTGACGCGTGTATAGTATTTATTCATCCGAAAAAGGAAACAAAAAAAAACACGTCGAATCGATTCGTTCTTTCTTATGGTATTTATAATAATTTCCAATGGCGGATCCATTCGCAAGATCCATTCCTGCGTATGTAGATAATCGTTCCGTTGGTCGTTTACGCCCCCATGAACCGGTTTTTCCAATGAGAAGTCACGTACTGGACGAAAAGAATGCCCTGAAAACGGTTTATGGAGAGAAAGTGGCTCTAGTGTAATGTCATATTTTTTGCAAATATCGACGTAGCTGTACTTGAACAATTGTACATAATAGATATATAACAGTAACTGTATGATTACAATGATGATGATGATGATGATGATGAAGATTGATGATTCTGTAACAAAAAAAAAAAGAAAAAAAAGCAAGAAATCGTAGCCTAAGGAAACTGATAAGCAATCCCTCTCTCAATGTTAGGTGCATGTCGATGTCTAACAAGTTTTTAATATCACAGCAATGGAAAATGGAAAAGTTTGAATGTAGCAATCTCTTTGTAAGTATTAACATTTAAAAGAAGAAAGAAAGAAAAAACGTGGAAGGAGTTTGAAGAGGTGTTCTTCCCCGTTATTATTACGGTTACATTCATAATCCTGCGCAAGTCCGTAGTTCTGCTTGTATGTTCGAACTTGAGCAATCTCTTTTTTTCTTTCCAAAGCAGCGTATTAAGCGAGCAATTTCAATTAGAAGATTAGTTGGTTCCTCGTCTCGTAGCGCGTAGATGATATTCAGCATCGTGTTAAAAAGACAACATTATAAGGATCAAGAATGAGCCCCGTAGTGTATAGAGGCTCGTGAAAGAAGAGGACAACCTGGTTGCCTTACATACTGCCACAACTTATTATCAGGAGATGAGAAGCTGACTAACAACCTTAAAGGTTAGGTGATACAGAACTTTCGAAGGCTGCAAAATTACATTTGGAGAAAAGTGGATAACTTGTATATATATATACATTATAATTAGCGATCGCAATACCAAGTAATAACAACTAGAAAAAAAAGAAATATGCATTAATTTTCATTTTCAACGTGACTAATCAGTGGAGTTTAATAAATACACTGTACATTATTTACAATTCGTTTCGGGACTTTGGGAGTTTCTTTATAATTAATCATCGCAAAATGCATTTAACGATTCCTTTGTATAAACCTCTAAATTTATTTTCATAGTTCTTTGATAACGATCTTGGAATTAAAGTGACTCTACCCCGTTTTGCACTGCTATTAATAAGTACTAACCTAACCTTCAGCTGCTATAGAATACACTCTACGAGCGACAGCTTATTTTTTTCTGAGCGAATAACTTCAAAAGGAGACACTTACTTACCACTCTTCAGATAAAATAATAGTCTTATTATAGGGCAGCTAAGGTTTTTCCTACATTTTATCTCCTAATATAGACTCTGGCTGCTATAAACAATTTCTCAATTTTAAATGCCTATTACTCTCTAGGTAAAAAAAGAGAAACAGGCTGTAACGAACACATAGGTTCTAACTAATTGTAAAATTGAAAGATAGTTATTAGCGTTATTAAGACAGGAGTAAACAGTCTTATTAAGGATGTATAATGGTCCTTTGCAGCTGAAGGAAAGCAACCAAGAGACAACATGAGCACAACTGAAATTAGTTGGCAGTGTTCATCCTAACTTGTACATAGGCTCCCATGGATCCGTAACAAGTCCGTAGTCTTCAGTGTTATTAATTCTAGTCTTTCTCATCAAGAGAGTTCTTCGGTTTACGCTGTAATGCTTGTGAAATAGATAGAGAGAGAGAGAGAGAAATAGAGAGAGAGAGAGAGAGAGAGAGAGAGAGGAAAAACGATTCCAGTAGACTTTTTGTCAGGAAAACCTTTGATGTAGCTCTTAAGGGTGTGGTTACAATAAAAGAGTGTGAGATGAATCTAACATAACCTTAAGGATCGCGTCAATTTGCGTGATGATGAAGTAAAAATCGCTCGTTCGGATTCCCCGGAACAAAAATCAACTTAACGGAAATTCTTCTGTGATAATCTTCTTACGAATGAAAATAAGAAAAGACTGATTAGGAAGACCATCATCTAAGTCGCCGTGTTTACAGGGAAGTTCTTACGAGAAAATCAATCTTCGTAGATGCTCTCACGAACTTATCCATTGCCTATGATAAAATTCGTATGTGTGGTACACTTCGCAATTTTTTTTGTTTGCTCTTTCTTTGGAAAGGACGAAAATGTCCATCAGCTACTAACGGTTTTTGGACGAGGACGATGAGAACATGAGCTTTTTCGATCAGTAACGGAGTCATACATCGGTGTTTTCCAAACTCGTTTCCATATGTACAGTTCCCCTACGCCTCACAACAGTTTCAAGCAGTTACACTTGGTTCTATGACAGTTTTCTCACAAGATCTCATACACAGTGAACGGAAGATTCGATTAGTTTCGATTTAACGTTTAGCAGAATTTAGTCGGTACCAAAGTAGAGTTACATATAAGTTTCATTGTAATCTTTTTATAGAAAAAAAAAAAAAAAATAGCAGTTTGGGAATCACGAGTACAAGAAAAGCAAAAGGTGATCATATACAACATCGAAGCAATACAACGTTGTGAAACATAATTAACACGAATTATTAACGCGAATCTTATCTACGGTGACTAGATTTGATTCAATTTGACGCGATCTTCGATAAAAAAAAAAAAGAAAAAAAAATATGGCGACACGCGGAAAACTGTTTCAATAAACTTTTAACGCATTCGATGAAAAATTTGATGAGAAAGTAAATAACTACGTTATTAATTAAGAAGGTAACAATCGCTCCCCGTACGAAAGTATCGCCTCCTTTGTTAATTTAACGAACGCTGTATGCACATTGTGTTAATAAAGAACTATGAGTCTGAAATGTGTAAATCTAATCAGCCTTATTGTTGTAAAATATAACAACGTAATGTCCGACAAAGCAAACTTGAAACTTCTGACGTCATCTCCTGATTAAATATACGGAAAATATGGAGTCAGGTCATCTCTACTACTCTTGGGTCTTACCACAGACGAAATATAGGCACAGACGAGGTACTGCATAGACCTTGCATCTTATGGGACTTCTTATCCGGGGCTCTGGGGCCGAAAAGATCCTTACCATTTTCGTGTCTCTACCAACGTTATAGATTCAGCATAGAATAAGATTACAAGCACAGACGACGTACAGGCAGGAGCGACGTACAGGATAGACCTTGCACGTTATGGAACATTTTGTCCGGGGCTTTGGGGCCGAGAAGACTCTTACCATTTTCATGTTGCTACCAACGTTACTGGTTCAGTATAGAATAAGATTACAACATTAGTAATGGTGTTAGTAATGGTAACTATGATATTACAAATAAAAAAGTAATGTAATTGTTTATTAGTAATTGATTCATCATATGCGCGTTCTACTGCTGTCAAAAGATCGTGAACACGATGCAATATATGCATTTAAGTATCTTTATATGCAAATTTAATAAGAGGACTTTTTACATCTGTCGATTTTACCATCTTTGATGGTTGGATTGTATGTAATTTCTAAACTCACCGCTTTATATTGGAGAGGGCATAACAAAAACTCCGATTTTTTACACGATCGGTATTTCAGAACGTTGGACCCAAAAATACATTAGGTGCAAGGTCTATCCTGTACGTCGTTTGTGGTTTTCTATTTTTTTATCAACGTACTACATTATCGACAACTGATAACCGCTGCACCGCAACGTCCTCTCAAGCGGCGGTAATATAAAACCGAAGAATAGTGGGAATGTCCTGACTATTTTCCGCTTACTTGGTCATGCGATAATATCAGAAGCCTAAAGATTACAAAACAATAACATAAATAACTATTCGGAGGAAATTATATCTTACGAAAAAAGCAGACAATTTATCATTTTACTAAATTATCTGTATATTTAGTAATTTTTAATAATTTCTTATACACCCTTGAGTTTCTTATAGAGTTGTACTTCTGTCGCAACACGGTGCAGAGACGTACTATCCGACTGTCCAACAAACCTAAAGTGAAGCCTCTGACGTCACAGCCTAGCAAAATGGAGGCAAAATAGACGGTTCAGGTCATCCCCACTACTCTTGGGCCTTACACTGCAGACGCTTGAGGGGAGGTTGCGTTGTAAGTAAATGGTTTAGACAAACGAATTTCAGTCAACTGTCGATAATGTAACACGCTGATAAAAGAACGGAAAACTAAAAATTATTTGGTCCCCTTGTCCTCGTTCCCACTCGGAATAATTTTGAAAAAATACCATTGGATTGCTTGAATTTTAACCTGTACAATAAGCTTATCGAAATAATAGACAAATTTTGGGAACATGGGATAAAAAAATTAAGTTTACCATGATGCACGTCGTTTGGCGTCGCGCAGGCATCTATTCCCCTGTTTATGGTGTCTGCGTGACGTAAACTTAATTTTTTTTCGAGCGCTTGAAAATATCATTCCGGTCAATTATCGACTGCTCATCTGTTTACCGACTGCTCGAACGAGACCCGATCGTCATCTATTGTTCATAGAAGAGTAAGTGCGATAGCCTTATTCTATCCCTATTGGCTTACTAACAGCGAGCCGTCGCAAGTTCCCCTACATCTCCCACTTTTAGGCCCTGTGTGACATCAGAGGTTTCACTTTAGGTTTGTCGGACTATAGAAAAGAATATGATTTTTTAGAAGTCATTCACACCTATCCAAAGTTTATTCTCGATTTACCGAATCGCACTGATACGTCATCAAGATGGCTGAACATACACTTAACCTTAAAATTCAACGATTGCTTGTTTCTCAAACTAACTTAAATATTAATTACACATTTAGAAAAAAAAAAGAAAGGAGGTTAAAATTTAAAAATATGTTCTAAAATAATAAAAACGATTAAACAAGAGGGAAAGTTAATGTTTCCTTCGTTTGTCGCGATCGTCTCTTCGTTGTTCTCGTTCTTCTTTACGTTTTGTGGTTGTGGTAGTGGAACTGCTGGCGCGTTTAGCTTGTTTCAAGAACTGATCCAAACCGAATGGGTCCTCCTCGTCCTTCTCGAATTGTACTGGCCCAGAGCGTGCAGTTGATCTATCAGTTCCACTGAATTCTTTATCTGGGACAAATCTGAAAGCACAAAAGATATATTTTAACTAACCTTCGAGTGATTATATGATTTAAAAACTGTCAATCCAATAACTTTTCACTTCAAGTGGCACCAAATATTTGGATCAATTGACTGGGAAACCACAAATACCTGTTTGTTTTAACAAGCTTCTCTAAATCATCTCCATAAGTATCCTTGTCAATATTTTTACTAGGTCGGTATATGTGTGAACCAATAGAGTTAGAATCTTTCCAGGGCTTATCATAAACATTATATTCGTCATCATGTCCGTAACCACTGTCCATTCCTTTACTGGTATTGAACAATCGTTGGTCGAATTGTGCTTCTCCGGAGTTAGGAATACTTTTCGCTGGTAAACCAAGTGCGATCTGTTCACTGATATCACGTTCACGTTCACGTTGCAGTCTGGAACGTTTATCAGGTGCAGCACGTGCCAAATTCCTCTCTCGTGCACGATCCTTGTGTCGTTCTTGCCTAAGTTGGTCCCTTTCACGTGACTCCTCCGATTTTTCTGTAACAAATTAAAAACATAATACTATTAGGGACGTCGTATAGAACCTATTCTAAATATGTCAAAATAATTGAAGTTATGGATGATAATGAACATGGAATGTGTATACGAACCCATTGCGGCTGACTTCAAACCAGCACGTTCTTCTCTGGCTTTCTGTGCAAGTTGTCTCAGATGGTCCTCCTTCTTCTCTTTCTCTTTTTGTGCTAACTTCTTTTCGAGCTGTGCTCGCATTTCTACCGCTTCACGAGCCTTTCTATCCGCGATATACAGAGCTTCAGCCAATTTGGCAAAGTTTTCGTTTATGTGAACTTGCTGCAATCCACGGCCATCTGCAGCTAGACGCTTATCCAGCGGAATTGTGTATCCCTTTGCGTTTTTCCAATTACTGATACATGGTGGTATTTTCCACTCCTTTTGTTCTTTCACTGTAACCTTCCTTGTAGGCGAGTGCATAACTGGTGCTGGGGGCGAAGGAGGACCTCGTGGTATTTTCTTATTAATTCTGAAATTAAAGGGCACTACATTATTCACAATATAATAAATAAGTCTCTACTCATAATTCATTTGATGCATTTATGGAAAATCAACATCATCATAAGACTCACTTGAATTTTGGTGGTTCTAAGGGATCTATTTGAGCTTCTACCATTCTTATAACCCTTTGCTTAGCCCCTGAATTAAAAGATTGTCCTTGTTGCGACGGCGTGTATCGAATATACTGAGCTGGTGCTTGCTTCTCTGCACATCTGACTGGCATAGCTGCAGCTATCTTTGATCTTGTTATTTTTTCCAGAGCTTTCTTAGTTTTCTCTGTAAGCTCATCGATCTCATCAGTAGGTGGACGTTGCAAAGTTGGATCTTCCTCACTTGTGATTTCTGAGGGTAATAAGTCACTCAGTTTGCTATAAACAATCTGTAAAAGAACATGCAATAAGCCTAAGTAAACCAATACTTTTACATAATAAAATTCATTAAATTACCTTATCCTTAGAGTGGCCTTGTCTAGCAATAACATCATATTTTACTTTTCCATGAGCATCCAGCTGAACTGCCAGAGTATTGCTGGTAGTTTCCTTTCCTTTCATCCCCATTCCAAGCGGATACTGCGCCACATGTATTTCTGGGAATGCTCCACCATCTCCAAAATCCTATAAATTTTACAAGAATCTCTAAACACTTATAGAAGCAATTTAAGACCAGAAATGTGAAAGCAATTAATAATTATTTATGCTTATGTGTACTATGGATAAATAACTGATATGAAATCACTTACCTCTGGATTTCTTGGTACCCATCCTTTACGTTGCCCATATGGTGGAGCAGTGACAACTGCTTTAACCAGGGCTGATACAGGCCTCTGTCGTAATTTTTGTTCACGTGCTTCATCTTCTCTGTCCCACACCACCTGCGATGGTGCAAATATGAGAAACAATCATAAACATTAAAATTAATAAATTAATGGCAGAAATTGATATACACAGTTACATCGTTCGTTTTGTTTAACAAGTACGCGTCATGTTCTATCGAAGTACACTAAAATTCATCACGTGAAAACTGTTATTATTTCACATACTGTATCAACTAGCATACAAATTTTATAATACACAACTTTATGTGTAACTGGAAATTAATTAATTTTTAAATAATTACTACAACAGCTAACCTTGTCAGCGACATTTTATTAATCGCGAAACGCAGTGATACCACCAACTACGAGAGAACATTTATACACTTGCCATACAACGAAAATAGGCGTGAATGTGATTATAGTGCATTCACAGTAAAAAAAACATTCCCTAGAGCTACTCTCAATAAAATATCCCCATATAAAATAAAGTCAAGCTCTTTACAAATAATGTTCTGAAAAATATGTTCATTTTTGAAGTCTGGAAGTAATTTCTCAACCATGTTCAAACGTTCTATCATAAGAGTATAATGTCATAGGAAGTATTGTAACATAGAATTAGTATATTTAAAAAAAACTTTATTTAAGCATTATAAATCGATCTAGTCACAGCCACCTTAGGAGGAAATACAAAAAAGACTTCTATAAATTACTTTTATTTAATTGCTAACATTTTGTACATTCCTCATGCTGGTCGATCATCGCATAAATTCTCGATAGAACATCGCCACATATACCTTCCACTTTAATGTTCGCAAAATCGTCTGCTCTGGTTTTGCCAATATTCAATATTGCTATCGGTTTTCCAGCATGATTAGCTTGCACTGCTATTCGATAGCCAGAAAATGTGGTCAATGTACTACCTACAATCAGTAGAGAATCTGAATGTTCAACATTATACTTTACACTCTCTACAACCTGCCTTGGTACATTGTCCCCAAAAAAAATAATGTCTGGCTTGAGAATACCACCACAATTTTCACAGGGTGGAACTTTAAATCCTTCCACTTGTTCCTGCATTAAAATGTTTTATTTAAATTTAAGCTTCTTAAGTTATATCGGGTTGTTTTAAATTATTTGAAATATTAGTTACTTGTGATATATCCACATCTCCATCAGGTCTTATCGTCACTTGACTAGTTGCAATCATACTTGAATTCATCTTATCAAGAATATCTTGCAAATGATATCTGCATATCCTTTCATCACAATTAAGACACATCACTTTAAATGCTGTTCCATGCAATTCTATTACTCTTCTACTACCTGCTTTTGTATGCAAATTATCCACATTTTGGGTAATAATGCATTTCACTTTGTTTGCATCTTCTAATTTTTTTATGTACAACTATATGAATAACTTGTACAAAGAAAAACTACAACCTTGGCCAACCTACATAATTTCTAGCCCAGTATCTCTTTCTGATGGCATCACTACTACAAAAGTCCTTATAAAGGACTGGTTTACGATTACTTCTTGCATAAAGTCCAACACCTTCTGATCTATAATCAGGAATACCACTTTCTGTAGAAATTCCTGCTCCTGTTAATATACACATGTTATTATGCCTTTCAATAAAATCTTTTAACTTTAATAAGTCTGAATTTTTTATAGGTTTACTATTTGGAACAAATGTAAAATTTGATGAATATGTTCGACCTGTAAATAATTTAACGGATAACAATAATTAGTAACATTTTTATAGTACTATAAATTAATACATGAAATACTGAAACACGAGCAACTCACATAATAAAGCTTCAATTTTATTTACAAATTTACACCTTGTCACATAAATAACGTTCATCTTAAAAATCATCTATATTTATAAGTTACAATAAAATATCTAATATTATACAGTTAAAAAAATTTACAATTTTATTTAAGGTTAATTCTACCTTTCGTCATCTCATTTTCGATCGATGACAGTGTTCTTATAAAGTAATCTTTTGACGTTAAAATAATTACCAAAATCACGTGTGCACGTTACCCTATGACACATAACTGTACATTATTAGATCGCGCTTTTTAAAAATCCGTTATTAAATCATAATTACTTAAACACATTATCGTTATAACAGAATATAATCTGTTATAAACAAATACTGTAAATTATAAAAAACTTCTTTATATAAATCTCTTAGTACAATTAAATTCTTAAGTATGATCTTAAAGATTGTTCTAGATCAATGAAAGACTAAATGTATTAGCATAATCTATAACATATCCAGCATAAGTCAACCAAATATTCGCTTAAGTTTAAAAGTATTTTCGATACCAATTTTTCAATTAATTTTCAAGAGAATTTTTAATTTTTCATAAAAAATTTTGCAATTTTTAGAAGTAGTAAAAAAAATCCCTAGATCAGTGGATCTGAACGTCGCCCACTCGACATTCTGTATCATTCAGACTAGTTGAGGCCATTGCTGGAGGTAAACGTTTTGAGAGAATACCTTTGTGACCTATTACGAACTGTGATTATTGTATTGCGAAATGGCTGCAATCCATTTGTTAAACCCCAAAGCTGAATTTGCCAGGGCCGCTCAGGCATTAGCCGTAAATATATCAGCTGCGAAAGGAATTGAAGATGTAATGAAAACGAATCTTGGACCGAAAGGCACCATGAAGATGTATGTATATTTATTCTCACGTGTAGACTAGAAGCATTTTGTTTCATTTGTCGAATGAATAAAAAAAGTTTGGATAAAATATACGAAACTATGAAAATCATTTTATATTCACTATTTCATTTAACAATTATTTGCATTTTGTATCATACAATTTGGTTGTTAGAATATTATCCTTATTAGGTAAGGTTGATATTTCCGCGGAGTACCGGTAACGTGACATGAACTATAATCGAAAATTCTCGATTACTATACTAGATCCTCTGCTTTCATAATTTAATAGTTACAAAGGTTCACTCACTTTAAATGTCATTAGGAATACTAATTAAACTATGCGTAATTATATGATCATTATTATTAATTTTTAAAGGTTGGTATCTGGAGCAGGTGACATAAAAATTACAAAAGATGGAAATGTACTGTTACATGAAATGCAAATTCAACATCCAACAGCATCTTTAATTGCTAGAGCATCCACTGCTCAGGATGATATCACTGGAGATGGCACTACCAGTACTGTAATTGTCATTGGAGAGCTTCTGAAACAGGCTGATATTTATATTTCTGAGGGTCTTCATCCTAGAGTGCTCACAGAAGGTTTTGAACTGGCCAGAGTTAAAACTTTGGAAGTATTAGATTCCTTGAAGATCTCAATTGAACCCACAAAAGACAACTTATTAAATATTGCTAGAACATCACTTAGAACTAAAGTTCATCCTTCTATAGCTGACAAACTGGCTGAAATCTGTGTGGATGCAGTTTTAGCCATCAGACAGAAGGATCAGGACATTGATCTGCACATGGTTGAAATGATGGAAATGCAGCATAGAACTGCGGCAGATACCAATTTAGTTCGTGGTATTGTAACTGATCATGGATCCAGACATCCAGATATGCCCAAGAGAGTAGAGAATGCTTACATACTGACTTGCAATGTCAGTTTGGAATATGAAAAGAGTGAGGTAACTGAGTTAAATAAGAACAATTAATCGTCTGTATATACTGTTTAAGTAATAAAATTTTATTGAATTTAGGTGAACAGTGGATTCTTCTATAAAACAGCGGTAGAACGTGAGAAGCTTGTAGCAGCAGAGCGCGAATTCATTGATAATCGCGTGAAGAAAATAATCGAACTGAAAAAGAAATTATGCGACGGAACGGATAAATCATTTGTCATCATAAATCAAAAGGGCATTGATCCGCCATCCCTGGACATGCTCGCCAATGAAAACATTTTGGCTTTGCGCAGAGCAAAACGTAGAAATATGGAGCGTTTAGCGCTGGCCTGTGGTGGAATAGCCATGAATTCCTTTGATGATTTGAAAGAAGAACACTTAGGATGGGCTGGACTCGTATATGAACACGTATTGGTAAATGTTCTTGAAATATTGTAGTATTTAAATCTCTACTTTTTACGATAAAAGACACACACACACACACACGTGTTATACTGTACTTTATTATAGGGAGAGACAAAATACACGTTCATAGAAGAATGCAAGAAACCAAATTCCGTAACGATTCTATTGAAGGTAAAATTGCATATAAATTAAACTTTCGAATAAAATTCATTCTTTTCTTTAAACATGAACAATTTTTAGGGGCCAAACAAATACACTGTGGAACAATTAAAAGATGCTGTGAGAGATGGCTTGAGAGCTATCAAAAATGCTATCGATGATCATGCTGTTATTCCTGGCGCTGGTGCTTTCGAGGTAGCTGCTAGTAAACAGCTTCAACAGTATAAGGAGAAAGTAAAAGGGAAACAACGTTTGGGTGTACAAGCTTACGCGGAAGCTTTACTCATCGTTCCCAAAACTCTCGGTACATAAAATGTTTCAAACTAGCTGTCCTTCGTTTTCATAATTATTTTTGTTCATACATGTTTTAATATCATTCTTTTTATTTACCTAGCTGTAAATAGTGGATTCGATGCACAAGACACGATCGTTAAGTTATTAGAAGAAGGATCTGCGTTAGATGAAGCAGTAGGATTAGATATTTCAACAGGTGAAGCGTTGAAACCCACGGATGCTGGTATTTTTGACAATTACAATGTAAAGAAACAAATTATTAATTCGTGGTAAGTATACTTTTGTGTTTGAAGTGAAATTCATTTTTAAAATATTTTGAAATACTAACGTTTTATTTTTCAGCACAATCATTGCTAGTAATCTACTTTTGGTCGATGAAATCATGAGAGCAGGATTATCGTCTTTGAAAGGTTAAACCGCGATCGAGTGCTCCTTGGTTTTGAAGTTATTTTATCTAATTTAAATGTTACATTTGCACGATCTCTATCGAACTTTCTGCATAATTCTTAATGTTTTTATATGCTTTCAAGTATAAAAAAAATTGCACAGCATAACAAATAAAATGCTACTTTTAATTTAAAGAACTTGAACGTAATATAAACACTTGTTCTTTGTTCCTGGTCGCTAAAAGTATTTGTCAAATACATAACTTTGTACAATTAACGATTTAAATAAAAAAAGATGAAGAAAATAATCATTTGTGTAAATATTTTTTCTGAATGAAATGCGCGTAAATTTTGTATTATCATATTATGAAGAATTTGAATCAGAAATGACAATTGTTATTAGAAAAATCAAAAATATTTATGTGAAATTTTATATTACACAATATTTACAAGTTTTTTGTTGTAAATTAAACTACTTACAGGACACTCAGTCTTGTGTTTTCATACGAATCATCCTTTTATCACCTTACATTCAATGTTAAAAAGGATTAATTTAAGAGTATCGAGCGATGAACAAAAATTATGCAATAAAATGTAAATTTTATATACACGTTTACTGTGTGAGGCAATGTGTATTACACACAACATAAATATTAACACATAACAATCATGTTTATCGGTGCTTTTATAAAAATGAAATTTTAAAAAGAAACTTTCAAATGTTATAAAATAAGTATATACTTTTCTAGGTTATTCACATGAACGATATTGATATTAACACCGATAAATATTAAATTTCACGTGTTAATATTTAATTCATTAATTTTTCATACACATTCTTACAAAATGGTTGTTCTCATGACGTACGTTTGCTTTTGTCATATAATCATTCCTGAGTTGACACAAGTAGTATTTCTTCGAAATAATTTAATAAATGTTTCGAATTACAGAAACATGAAAATTGTCCACCGTTAAGGATAAGTACTCACTTAAAAGTAATATTATTACATGTCACTGTTTAAAATAAGGGCGTACTTATGATTAAGAGATTTCACATATTCCAAAATAAATAATTTCAATATGTATCTTCTCGAGTCATCGAAGTAATGAATATCGCTACAGTTACTATTTACAATTTTCATGCTACAATACTGCATTTTGATTTTTAGAATTTTTTTTTATTAGCAGATAGCATGAAACAAAGTATTTCTCTAATTAATAGTTTTTTATAACACTCAATCCAAATTATATATGTACAACGCAAATGTCATTGTGTATAGTGTGTGAATGTGTGTATATGATAAATTGATATTATATTAATCGAATATAATTCTTGTAAGTAAGAAAACTTAAAAACATCAATTCTTTCTTATCTAACTTGTTCAAAAAATTGTCTCACAAAAGGACAACATAATCTTAGAGCAAGTACAAACTTACGTTTCATTATATCTCACGATTTTTAAGTGTACACTAATAGAGAATGTACGCATAAAATATATAACTGTCAAGAATTAACCGTGATGCTTCTTTATACACATTCCTCGTATTGTTACAATACGGAAGGGGGAACAATGAATTTTATAAAAATTCATCAGTATAGCATTCGCTAAATATAACGTCACAGAAAAGTATATAATACCGCGCGTTACTTTGGTTATCGTTTACCATTATGTCAGTAATGGTTGTGCAAGAAATATGCATCGTATGTAAAATAAAATCATAACGGGAAGCAGAGTTTCCCTTTATATGTCCATTCGTTATTTCAACTTTTTAAGCGTTGCGATGTTCTTGATATCGTGTTTCAGATCCTTCAACACTACCTTCGGATTGATGTTAATCAACTGTGCAAGCGTGACGCAGTTCACCTTCATTCTATGGCCACCGACTACCATGTACGTATTCAACTTGGCTAAGTTGACAGGACTGCTGGGGATGCCATAATAGGAAAACTGTTTGCTCTTTGTCATTTCTTTCTCGTTCGCTTTATTATTAATCAAATATCTCGAATGTGGATTCGTAGATTTTCTAGCTACAGCCTTTATCTTGAAGGGAATAAGATTTGGACGAATGGTACTTTTAGCCGTGGACTTTTTAGCTACCGCGTAATTCTTCGATGGTGAATCAATTATGATTTCATCTTTATCAGTGCTCTGTGCACCAGGCTTCAACCATTTTACTTTTGTCATAATTTTCTCCACTAACGATTCGTAGTTCTTTATGCTTTCTATCTTCAATTCTAGGTTAGGGTGCTCTTCAACATTATGAGTGGACACTTGCGACGGAGAGCTGAATGTTTTCTCGCAGTATTTACATTTGAAGAGGTTTATGTGCCTTGACACGTGATTCTTCATAACGTTGATAAAAGTCGTGGTGAAGGGGCACTCTGGACATACGTATCCCCTGGTCATTATTTTCTTGTCTTGCTTTTTAAAGTTCAACGGTAGGTGCGAGTGGAACATGCTGTGATGCGTTTTCATTTTGACTTCGGAATCACACGCTTCGTTACACCACTGACAGATCCAACCTTCTTGGTTTGATCCCATTGTCTCTAACTCCTGTACATCGTTTTGTGACTGCTGTAAATACAGCTCGTATGGGCTTTCCGTTGGTGATGTTTTCGAGCAGTGTGCCTTCATGAGCCTTTTATCTGACGACACGCGTACTTCCTTGTATCTAAATGGACAATTCGCTACCATATTACTCGCAGATTCGTTCATCAATTCTGTGTCATTGTGCGCAATGTTCCAATGACTCTGAACTGAGTCCAGTGCCTTGCTGCGGAACGAGCAATAATAACAATAGTAAATCGATTCCTCGTTCCTAACCTCTGGAACGTGTTCTTCCTCTATATCGTCGCTGTAATCATCAGTGACAGTTTTCTTATCGACTGGGGTACTTATGGATTCACCAGACGATTCAGCTGTTGGTATCTCTTCGAATTTAAATGGCGAGAATGGATGATTGTGCTCCCAGTGCTCTTTGATATCCGTTTTCGTCGATGCAGTAAAAGTGCAATATGAACATTTCATTATAACTTTTGGCGCGTGTATTCTCATGTGTATCTTTAAACCGGTCAAACTTAAAGCGCTGAAACCGCACATTGTGCACTTCTCTTGTTGTTCCATTTGGGAATGATTGTTGTCACTCTCTGAGACTTCTTCACCACTTATCTTTCTCTTGCGTTTCTTAGACCTCTTTGGAAACACAACTCCGTACTCTTCTTGCCAAAATTCATCTGGTAACTCTGGCCCACCAGCTGCTGGATTTTGAACTATTTTTTCCGGACAATCAGGATGTTTAGAACGCATGTGTTGACGCATTAGAGTCTCAGAATTGGTGCTACGGTCGCAGTATGGACAGATGTATCCAAGACGTTTCAGATGTGTCAATTGTACGTGCAATTTGAAACCGCGCCATCGGGTGAACGTCATCTTGCAATGTTTGCAGACGAATGGCTTGTCTTGTTCCTCTTCGGGTCCAGCTATATTGAAAATTAGGATTAATCACAGAACTCTGAGAGATTTCTATTTTTTTCTTTTTTGTAATTTCAAGATACTTACCCTTATCAGAATCTGCAGCCTTTGCAGTTTTCTCTTTCTTGGATGCCTTCTCATTCTTCATATCGAGAATGGCAAGCTTATTATCTTTGTTGGTTTCGTCTGACGCTTCCAAGTTAATTTCAGTACTCTGATTTTTATCATCTTGCACTCCGGGAGGTTTGTCAGGAACGCTTGTAGGTTTTGGAGTTTTGGTAACAGTACTCTGAGTAGCTTTACTAGGGGCTGATTTAGAATCACTTGTGGACTTTGTAGGAGGAGGTTTGGAATCACTTGTGGTTTTTGCAGAAGGTACTTTAGAATCACTTGTAGTTTTTGCAGAAGGTGCTTTAGAATCACTTGTGGTTTTTGCAGTAGATTGTTTACAATCACTTGTAGCTTTTACAAAAGGTTGTTTAGAATCACTTGTAGTTTTTGCAAGAAGTTGTTTAGAATCACTTGTAGTTTTTGCAGTAGATTGTTTACAATCATTTGTAGTTTTTAAAGTAGATTGTTTAGAATCACTTGTAGTTTTTGCAGTAGATTGTTTAGAATCACTTGTAGTTTTTGCAGTGGATTGTTTAGAATCACTTGTAGTTTTTGCAGTGGATTGTTTAGAATCACTTGTAGACGCATTTCCGGACGCAGAATTTTCTGCATTCTGTTTGGCCAATAATCCTTTTATCATGAGCGTTTGTCTCTTCAACAATGTACCAACCTAGAGAAAAGATTTATAAATAAAACATACACTTAAAAAATTTTCATTTAAGTCAACATTAACATACCCATTCCTCGATATCATCATCAGGAGTTAATGGTTCGTGGTTGAAACGTTCTCCATTATGATGTTTGTTAAAGTGTTTCAATAAGGCATTACGATTTACAGACAGGTAACCACATTCTTTACAATGCCATCTACGATATTATTCCATCGTTACATAAGAAAAACGGACATGCTTGCGAATTAAATAAATTGAATCATAAAAAAATTACCTAGCATAATTTAATTCTCTGTAAAGATGATCCCTCATGTCGTGCTTATATTTCGTCTTAAATTGCGTGCACAAGGTACAAACGTACATGTTACCATCCGCAATCCCGTAAGGACCAAACCTTCCAACGTCCGACTCTAAGTCCAAATCCTCAACTGGTTTAGCCTTAGTCTCTTTGGGTTTATCGGCCGTACTCGGAGTGTCACTTACACTTTCTATTTCCGTCAATATTTTATCGCTGGTTAAAGATCGCTTAAACTTTTCTTTCGTTTGCTTCGTTTCGTCCAATGATCTTCCTGCTTTTATCTTAGCTGGTTTAATAGCAGGCAATTCTGCATCGCTTTTTCGTTTTCCTGGCCTCAAAGAGGACTCCATTGACACTTCATCCTCTTCCTCAAGAAGAATTCCACGAATGTGTCTAATTCGGGGCATATCTCTCCTCCACAAAGGAGTAGTATCAAAAGGCTCCTCCTGTCCAGTCTGTTCCACACTGTCCGTGCTCTTTTTATTTATACCTTTTATTCTCTGATAGGTCAAAGTGTAATCAACATTTGGATCATTAGGATGTTTGCTGTTGATATGTTGTTCGAACATGATCTTGCCACTGGTCTTAAAAGAGCACAAAGAACACTTGTACTGGCATTTCTCATCGTGCGTTACACTTGTATGATTAACCATTTCCGCCTTGTACACACACTTGTAATCGCAGATGTTACATTTCCAATGATTTCCATCTGGATCAGGTGCCTCTTCATCGAGTTCTTCTTGCACGGATTGTTGATTGTTCTCAGTGTTCTCTAATTCTCTGATCACTTTGACGAAAGGCCTTTTCTCTGGATGCTTGTCAGTGAGGTGTCTTTCCACGACATGCCTAGTAAATAATTCGCTACTATTAGAAAGCATAGAAAATGAACAAAGGAGGATGAACATTATTTTAAACATCTGAAAAGCAAATGTAACATACATCATCAAGTTTTACTTTACATGCTTGTCAAATGTTTAAAAAATATATGGCGTTTAAAATCTGTGATCTAAACACGAGTGCATTATTTAACCAAACGCGATTATATAACCAATATTGTGTGTACCTATGGTAATGATGGTGATTGCAGTGAGAACACTTATAAAGTCTGGTGTCGTGCATTTTCAAATGAACAGCCATTTTATCGATCGCTATATTCAATCCTTCTTGGCCTGGAGACGGTTGGGGGCAATGGGGGCATCGGAAATATTGTTCCTCGGAGTGCAAAGCCTTTAAGTGGCACCTTAACATCGCCTCATCGACTGTTAAATAATTGCACTCAGCTACACCGCACACGTATCTATTCAGGGGAAAACATTGCATATTTCACACTTTACAATGAATAAAAAAATCACTCTCACTCTTGCAATAAAGAGAAAGTGCCATTTACTTACCTCTGATGCTCTGGCACGAATTTTGGTATGAATTCATCGTCGTTGTCTTTATTGATCTCCTTTGGTTTGGCACCCATTCGGCCATTTTGATGAGAGCTACTCGCCAAATTCACCATCTTGTCGAACATACGTTCCTTCTTGTCTAAGCAAGGCACAGGATTAACTGGACCACTTTCTGGCACGCTCTCGTCTTTTGCGTGTAGTTGCAAGTGTCTGATTATATTCATGCGAACTTTCGTCGTGTATGGACACACTGCACATTGCACCTCGCGATTGTAAATCGCCTGACGTGGCAAAGAGTCTATTTCATCAGGACTAAAGGTGAATTTCTCAGAATCTGTTACCTTTTCACCCTCTTTCTCTGTCGTCTTCGTATTCGTTTTACGTTTCTTCCCTTTACGTTCACCATTTTGACGCTACATACATACAAACAAAATATTAAAACACACACACAGAAATTTCTATTTAAATATTTTGTAAAATATAACTTACGACAGGTTGTACGACAAACAAACCATCAACGGATGGATTCTTCGGATCAGCTGGTACTAATTTACTGTACGAATATTTATGTTTCGCTTTCATGTGCGCCATCGCTTGATAGCCCACCGTGCATCTCATTTTGCACAATGAACAACCGAAACGTTTCAATCCATGCGACTTTAAGTGTTCTAATAAGAATCCAATTTTCATAAAACGTTTGCCACAATGAACGCAAACTAAAGTCTCATTGTCACCCCGCAATGGACAATCTTTTACATGGACTCTCAAAAGAGTTGCAGTTTGAGCGCCATGTGTGCACGTCTCATAACCACATTTGTATAACTTCGTTCCTGAAAAACCGGTATCTTTGATGTCCTCCAATGTCAAGGGTTTGTCCGGTTTTGTGTTGGTGCTACTGACACTTTCTTTGGTGTCAGTGGCTGTACTGGAATCTTCAACATCAATACTGGAAGATTGCTGTTCTTTTGTATCTTCTTTTTGCTCCACTTTTGGTTTCTCAGTGGAATCAACGCTATCTTTCCTAGACACCTCCGCTTTTATATTCTTCGTTGGAATGATAGCCTCTGTTTCTTCAATATCCACGATCTCGATATCACTGTCTTCCATTTTACTTTCGTTTGCAGTGGAGTTGTTGAGAAGGGACGAATCACAGTTGCTAACTTTCTTCAAAAAATCAGGATTGTCCAACAGATTGATGCTCACGAACTCGTCGCTGCAATCGAAAGTTTCTTTGGAAGGTTCAACTACATCAACGGAACTCTTGTCGGATATAACACTGGCCCGCTTGGATTTGTCCAAAAAACTTGTATCTGGGGAATCCTTGTTCAATATAGAAGTGATGGAAATGGAATCGTTCACATTTGCCAACGTTTTGTTGGTTGCATTATCGTCGCAACTTTCATTCAACGATTTTTCCTGTTGCTGTAAAACATTGGCGTTGATAGAACTGCTCGAGGTGCTACTGGTTCCGAACAAGCTAGACAAGGACTTATTTAAAGCCTCGTTTTCATCTTTGCTCAGCATGGTCACATCTTTGGAAAATTGTGGATAGAGTACCTTATGTGACTGAGACGCGTTGATGACGTCTATTACAATATCTTTGTTACTGTCTTTTCCATCGTTTTCTACGTCAATCACTTCTTCCGTGATTTTAAAAGTATCGTCCAGTGTTCTTACAACCAGCTGATCTATGACGTCTTTAGCACGTACTGGCTGAAATATGACATTGAAAATAATGATTATAAAATTTTTATTAATACATTATATGATTCACTGGTAAAAATATTTTTTTACCTGAGGAGGAAGAGATCGTTCGAGAACCTGCGGTAATCTGTTGCAATGGAACATGCTCAAATGGCTGTGCATATCGCTGAAACTGTCTGAACCGTTTAGATAATAAATTAAAAATATTATTTACCGTGAGCAATTGTTCCACTTTAATGCACGTACCACGACACACGTGGCACTTATAAGTGGAAAGAAGCGACCTATGCTTACTTTTTAAGTGTGCCACGAAAGACTCAGGAACATAAAAAAACTTGCCGCAATCTATAAAAATATATCTGTAAGCTTAAGAGTATTTACTCAAACATAAGGATAAATCTAGATACAAAACAAAATTATACCGTGTTGACACACATAAGGATGTATATTATCGTGTCTATTGACTTCCTCTTTCAGTGGTACTTCCTTCACCAATTTCCCAAGCAAAATACCATGATGACCAGGATGAGTCGCCGTCTGCAAGGAAAAGATAAAAGTCAAATACCAAGTATATAAATTAATTAATAAAAATAACGATAAATAGCAATTGCACTTTTTTTGTACCTGATGTATGTATACATAAGAAGGCACACTGGCTCTATAGAAGCAAGAAATACATTGATAACGACAGTGTGAGTGTTTCTCTTCTATGTGAATTTTCATTTGATTCCAATCTTCCAGCACCATGTAACAATAGGCACACTTCTGATAATCGAATGGCGGCGATAACTTCTGCTTCTCTGCCTCGCTCGTATGTTGAATATAATGCTGATGATACTGCGTCAATACGTCGCTCGTGAAACGACAATCACGACCCATACATTTGTATAAATGAATCAATTTGGCCGGCTTTAGCATCGCGTTGTAAGCACCCGCTGATTTCAATTTAGCAGCTGCAGGTGGAGATACGGCGTCTTTGGGTTTTAGAGCAGGTGGCGTACGAACCACTTTCACGATTTTGTAATTCAGATTTGACGATTGTGGCGAAGCAGACACAGTCACGGTTCGCGAGTTTCCTGAAGTCACGACAGTGCTTTTGTTCGTGGAAAGAGGCAGAGATAATTTGTTGTCCACTTGAATAATCTTTGATTTTGGAGCGATTGGGATAAAATTAGTGGTACGTTGTGTGGCGGTCATAGAAACTGGGACAGGAGATAGACTTTTCACTGGAATCAGTTTGACTGTTTCTGGTGTTGCCTGTCCTGATTGTAAGTTCTTTGCAAGTGGTTGTGTTAGGGTCACAGAGCTGAGCCTCTTTAAAATAAGAGGAGAATGGGGTTTTTTCTTTAACAAAGACACAGCCTTACTCTTTGTGGGGGACGTTTCAACTGCTTTTCTTATATCATTTATCTGTAACGGGGAAAAAAAAAACTTATATCTATACAAATAAAAAGAAATTAAGAAAGAAAAAGTTCAAGCAATAATATATTACGTGACTTACAATGGGGCTTTCAGTGCCATCATTGTCGCTTCTTGGCGCAAGACTAACTACATTTTCGATCTTTAAGAAAGAACACTCTTCATCTGCATCCGATTTTAATACAGACTTCATCTTCTCAGGACTGTTAGGTTGATTTGCGTCTACTACGTAAAATAATTACATGTAACACACTACTATAAACTAGTAAAAAAAAGTCACAATAATACTTTTATACATACTGTTCTTCGATTGTGTCGTATCTTCCTGAACACCAAAAGGCTGTACAGGCACTGACAACTTGTCTCCACTCAGCCGCCTCAGCCTGATGAAATTCTTAGGTGTATTACTGTCGTCACTCGTTTCTTGGGATATTTCATGGAATCTATTTTCCATTTGTCCAACGAATCTCTTAATACTAGCTATAGGAACGACATCCGGTGGTTTTGGAATAGAACCAAATGGAAACGCTCTTTTAAGTTCTTCAGGTTTAGAGGAACTCTCATCTTTGCATGCTTCAATTGGCTTTGTAGCCTGAAGCTGAGCAGCAAGTCTCTGAATAGTAGTCAGCATTGGACCCTTGGAAGATGCATTAATGTTAGAAGTTTCTTTCAAGATCATATTCACATCTGTAGGTAGTTCACTGTCTGATTGCTCACTGCTGGAGTCAGAGTCATAGATAGGAGCTGCATCCCTTATATTTTCATTATCACTGGTTTCTGCATCACTTTCATCATTCTTTTTGTCATACAATATTGCCAATGGATCTCTGACCTTTGAACCTGTTTGATCTGGTTCAGATGTTAACTGGGAATCACACTCTACAGTAGATATTTGCATTGTTGAAGTAGAATCTTCATTGTTCTTGTCGTTTGAGATTCCTTGAGACAATGCTTGATTCAAGTCTGGATCCTCTACAGAAAGAACAATAGTAGCAGTAGGAGCCAATTCGGTGTTCTGAGATAGCGTCGAACTAGGTGAACCCATGGAATTTGTCGGAGTTTTGCTGGGAGAATTTAGAACCGTGTTGAAGTCAATTTCGTTGCTTACTACCATTAAGTTAGTTCTCATTTTGTCCTTCAGCTTATCTATGATGGACAACCCCTTCTTGGATACACTCTTTTGTAATCTGATGCCAATATTTTGAATGATCTCTTGCATCTTCTTCTTTCGTTCCAGTTGAATTTCCACTTCTTTCTTTTCCAATTCTGGCGGACAAACGAACACGCTCAGATTTCCCGATGGTAAACTCGAATCTGTATCTGTTTGCGGTGATTTGCTCTTATCCTCGTGAACTGTCCGAGGGTCAGAATGATCCTCTTCCTGCGGTTTAGCCTCTGTTACATCTTTTGGACTCTTATCCTCGTTATCAGTGGTTTTACCGTCCTTCACCATTTCCACTTCAGTCACTTCATTGTCTTCCTGTTCAACAGAAGTCGCCGTCTCGTTTACTGATGTCTCTGCCTTCTCTGAGCTCAATTGAGACAGTTCCAACTTCATGTTTTCATCTGGTACAGAAACTTGATCGTTAGAGTCCTCTTTAACAGAATCTAGAGACATGTTTATCTTTATGATAATAACGCTTGTATCATCTTTATGCCATATATTGATATGTTCCTCTACGTTGAACTTCTTTAATTGAACGTAATTACAGTTTGAACACAAATAACCGTAAATACCATTTTCTTTAGGTATTTCGTCTTCAGTTATGGCTTCGTTAAACGTGTCTTTGAATTTGCGACACACTTTGTAGTAATGAGTCCTCATAGAGGACTTGGCCACAGCCTGGTAAGGACAACTGTTGCAACGAAACCTGTATTCTCCAGTATGCGTTGTACAATGTTCGTAGAATGCCTCCATGGTATCTGCTGCAGTGCCTTCAGTGAACAAAGAACAGAATCTGCAACGAAATTTACAAATTTCTTTCATAAGAGGTTTGGATGATGTATTCTCTACGTCATCATCTTTGGCATCTTGAACAGCTGAGTCAGCGTCTGAAGCCTTGAACCTAGAGATGAGAATCTCCTTTCCAGGATGGCTCAGTTTGTAATGGTGAACAATATTTTTGCCTGTGAAGAAGCAAAGCAAACATTTGTACCTTTCCTGCCCCGTCCACGCATAATCTATTAATTTGTTTATATCCAAGTCGTAAAAAGCTTTATCCAGCTCTTCTTTACTCTTCTTGTCATCATTGCTGACTGATTTATCCTTGCCTTTGCCATCTTTAACTTCTGATGTTTTCTCGTCGACAAAAGTTTTAGACAAAGATTCTTTTTTCTCTGTAGAAACGCACGGCGTCGACGATTCCTTTATCTTTTGATCCTTTCCATTATCATCAGGAACTGGCTGATTGCTATCAGTGTTTTTAACAGAGTCCTCCAGTTTCTCAGGAACATTCTCAGCCATGTTGTTTGATGAATGACTCTCTTTGTTTGCTGTATGCTGTAAAATTGATGAACCTTCTGTTTTGGTAGAAATATCCATGCTCTCAGAACTGGTGTTCAGAAGATCAAAGTCACATTTAGGAGAAGAAGCTGTAGCAGACTTCTTCTTCTTCTTTTTGGACAGAATCCCCATCTGCCAGTTGCATTTTTTCTTTTTTTTCTTTGCTAAAGAAGACTTTCTTGTGTTTAGTTCACTTGGTAATTGGTCATTAATTTCATCATCAACATCAACATCACTTCCCTTATCCGCTATAGACGAATCTTTGTCTCCATCATTCTTTGATGACACTAATCCCACTAAAATGTTACTCAACAATTCCTCATTACTAGTAGCTTCCAGTCTGGTTACACTGATACCAGTCTTCTTCCCAGATGCTACACTACTAGTCATAGAAATGTCAGAAGTGATACTTTCCTCATCTGAAAATTGAACGTCATCTTTATTATCAGTTGTCAATTCTGTTGTCTTCTTTCTTGTGGATTTTCTAGAAGAGGTTTGACTGTGTTTCTTCTTCTCTGTTGGCTCTGTTGGTTCTGTTGTCTCAGGCTTAGGTTCAGGCTGCTTGTCTGGATGTAATGAAATGTCCACAGCTGCAGCCAGCTCAGATACATCTATGCCAAAGCTCTCATCAGATGAGCTGTCAAACATTATTTTGCCACAATCCAATTTAGAAATATCTGTCTTCTCAACAACCACACGTGGTTCTTTTATTGATTCCTTGTTAATTATTCGTTTGCTCCTCCTTAGAACCTCAGATTCTTCATTAGAAGGTTCCTGGTTGGACAAAGAACTGGTATTCTGAATCAGTTCTGTTCGCAGAGCCAATGGCTGGTCTTCTTCACTATCTGAGCTCTGGTTATACTGTTTCGAACGCTGTCGAGTTATTCGTTGCACCTCTTTCTTTGATTTGCCTTTTAATTTACCTGAGTCTTCCAAGGTACGTGATTTGCCAAATTTCTTTTGCTTGGACGAAGGCGTCAACGCATCCTCTGCATCAGAATCCACGCCTTGCTTAGCTGATTCATCTTTCTTCGTCGTAGGCGTACTTTGAGTAAAAGTACTCGCAGCAGTAGTGTTTTGATTTTCTTTCTGACTTCGACACAGTCGATGACCAGTGGCTGCCACGACGCCATCACTGATGAACATCTCCTTGATATCTTGTTGCAACATCTCCAGAGAATTCCTCCTTTTTGCTTTAGTTTTTGGTATTTTTGAAGTACTCTCCTTATCCTCAGTAGACTCATCCTTAACTACCTCCTTAGAATCTATTGAATCTTCTTTCACCTTCTTTATACTTGTTGCATCCTGATCCTTTGATTCCTCCACCTCTTGAACATAACTCTGATTTTCTTCAGGGACATTATTTTCTTTAGTGTCTTCTTTAGTATCTTCTTTAGTATCTTCTTTTGTATTTTCTTTTGTATCTTCTTTAGTATCTTCTTTAGTATCTTCTTTTGTATCTTCTTTTGTATCTTCTTTTGTATCTTCTTTAGTATCTTCTTTAGTATCTTCTTTTGTATCTTCTTTCTGATCTTCTTTAGTATCTTCTTTTGTATCTTCTTTTGTATCTTCTTTTGTATCTTCTTTAATATCTTCTTTAGAAGCCTGAAGCTCAGAAGTCTCAATACTAGGAATCACGTCTTTGATACTCTTATTTGGTACCTCCTTCTGATCATCCATTGAAGCATCCTGATTCTCTTTCTTGCTTGTTGCGTTCAAAATGCCCAACCTTTCAGCAAGAGACTCTTCATCAGAACTATCTGAAACAATCACTCGCCGCTTTTTCCTCGTGTGAACCTTTTTCGTCTCAAGAGAATCATCCTTATCTGAACTGCTACTCTCTGACTCAGACTCGATGATCTTCTTGATCTTCTTCAGTTTCTTCGCCTGCAATACTTCACCCAACTTCTGCATAAATTTCGCCTGTTCAACAAACTTCTTTCCTTCACCAAACTCGAAGGATTTTCTAATCAAAGCCTCTATCCATTCCTGGGTAACTTCATCCTTCGACTTCGATCCTTCAGGCTCCATCTCTCCTTTTTTAGTAGGTTTCTCAATAGTTTCAGATAATTTGGAGGAATCATTACCAGTAGGATCTAATTCGCTAGTATTCAAATCGGTTTTATCCTCCACAGGAACCGTCAGAGTATTCTCCTCCTTTACGTTCTCCTCTTTCAGCTCCTCCTTCTTCTCAGGTACAATGCTACCCTGACCCCAATCCTCTAGGAGAAAATTTCCATCACTGCTACTGCTCACTTCCGCACTGATGTCATCCTTGTCCCTTTTAATAGTCTGTTTTACTTCCTGCTTCTCCAAAGAACACTCTTTGATCTCCTCAGTGATACTACTGGACGTAGGTGACTCAGACGACTCGTTACGCTTTATTTTAGGAATCTTGAAATTCTGCAGGCAATAACCTTGCGCGGACTTCGCTTTCGTGTCGATAACTCCGTATAGACTTTCAAGAGGTGATTGCATCTTATCCTTTGCCGTCTTCTCTTGTGACTGCTTACTACTACCTTCAACATCCGAACGTCTGTGGCCCTCAGCGGGCTTTGGAGGAGACTTCGTTTTCTCCTTAGCCTTCCTAAACGATGACATCAAGAATGGCGGCCCCGTGGAGCGTTTCCTGGGATCCCTCTCATTGAAACTGTTATCCTTACCCTTACCAATGGAGAAATGCTTGTCCTTGGCCAAACGAGGATCTCTGACCGAGGTGCCATTATCTCTCGATTGGTTAGGACTCTGATTCATCATATTATGCTCCATGCGTACCCGAGGATCACGGTCAGATATGTTTCTTGCGTCCCTGAAGCGATTACAATTGTCCCACTCGTTATGGTTATCCCTGGCCCACTCAGGCCTGCGTGTGTCACGGTTGAAATTGCTTCTTGGTTCTCCCCTATTCCTCTCATTGTAATATCCAGCGCGTCCTCTACCTCCTCCGCGATCTCTGTCCCTATTCCAAGGACAAGGGGTGCTGGATCTTGGAAACGGCCCTGAAGGGCCTTCTGACGGCCCCATTACGCCACAAGGAACTTCGTTCTCTGCCCTATAGGGCATATCGTTGGGTCTATTGGCTGGAGAGTCCCAAGGCTGCCTCTGATGAGGATATTCCATTCCCCTGTCAAAAGGCGGGTCATAGGGCCTGTTCTCACCCTGGAAATTTCTATACTGTGGTCCAACAGGAAATCTCGTGGGTGATATCAAAGGCTGTATTGTTGGAACATTGGGTACATCTACATTAGACATATCGTCTGGTCGTGGGATATGATTTATATCTTGAGGCCTCGTGTTTGGACTCATCAGAGGCCTGATACCTGTATTCATGCTTGGGGGGAATTGATTGGGCCTGAGCTGGCCCTCGTTCATTTGATGAGGATCCATGTGAATGGGTTCTCTGTTCGAACCCACGTTCCACATTTCCTGGTGCATTCCCATGGGGTGTTGATAAGGCGTTTGAGCAGGGGAGTTGGGCATACCACTGAAATTTGAGGGCGGAGGCGGCCATTGGTTGTTGCAAAAATCGTTCATAGCGGACCAGTGACCTTGGTTAGACACTTGTCTGTTGAAATACTCTGTACCCTCCATTCTGAAATCTGTGTCTATTCTAGGTGGTACCATTTCTGGGCCCATGTTCCCCTGACGCCTCTGATACAGCATAGCATTTCTGTCATCGGATTTAATCAGGCCTCCATGATGCATGGGGACTGGATTGGACATATCATCATCAGGTCGACAGTGCATAACGTGTATGTTGGCTTTATCCTTATCGTGGCCGTGAATGTCACGCATCTGACGTGGATGTCGCTCATAATTGTCAGCGAAACGTGGTTCTATCTTAGAACCAGGTGAAGGCGGTCGATTCCTATTGTCAACAGGTATGTTGGCTGTGAACTGGTTTGAACCATGACCCAAGATTCCCTGAGGTGGTCCCTTGGTTTCACCAGGTTTCAGAGCCTCTGCTTTGGTAATTAACGTGGTACTCAAACCACTAGGTAGACACTTCCTACCGGTCATCTTGACTATGTGCTTGTCGAACTCCTCCCAACGCCTTTCGCTCTCGCTGTCGATGTCCTCTTGCGTCAACATGAATGGCTTGGACGACTTCATGTCCTTGCCACTTCCACCTAATGCATTCAATGTATCCTGTTTATCTTTCTTGAACTTCACCGCCAGCTCCTCCCTTAATCTGTCACCCTTCTTCTCCGCCCTGCTGTCACTCTCCTCGTTCAATAATTCCGCCAGGTCTTCCATGGACAGCGGCGGTTCCGTCGACACCGGCGGTGGAGAGAGTAACAACGGTGCCGAAGGTTTCGAACCTGGCCTCGTATCCTTTAGCCTAGGTGAGACGTTCTTACCGTGTTTGGGGAACAGAAGATCCGTGTCTGGGGATTTCAGCCTTGCTTCAGAGACGTTCATCGGCGACTCTGGCCTCGCGTCCACTGGAACTTGATCTAGGCCCACTCCCATCAACCGATTCTTTTCCAGAATCGACGACAACCTCCTGGAACCACCCAGAGAGGGAACCGGAACCGTGGGTACGTGTCGAGATGAGGAGTGTATCGATATGGGCACATGAGCTCTCCCGTCGTTCACCTTCTGAGCCAGATTACTCCCGACCATCTTCGCAGTGCCAGCTACTACATCATGGCCGGAAGTAACGATCGTTTGCCAGTTCTTGTTCCTCGACAGCTGGCTCTCGTTCTCCTCAAGCATCTCCCATTCGGTGAACGACACATCATCTTTACAGGAGTTACGTTGAGACGTAGGGGACGGGCTGAGATCATTGCTCGTCCTTTCTGTAGGGATAATGATGGGTGCTTTCGTTGGCAGAGTGTCGATGGGATCTGGTGAGGCTGGTTTGCTGTCTGGCTTGTCGTCAAAGTCCAGACTACGCTCTGTAGGGATTATTATAGGCGCCACTTGAGAGCATGAGTCTGGGCTGACAGGAGGACTCGGACTGGCAGGAGTCTCATGGATCTCCCTTGAATCCTCCATGACTTCTTCTACGTAGGATCTTGCATCCTCTGCCACGCTGAAAGGGATTCAATTATGTTTTTTTAGAGACGAGATAATGTTCAGATATTCTGAAGCGTTTTGTGATAATAATAGCACATTGAGGAAGTCGTTACGTAGCAGTACTGTTTTAGTTGTGCTTGTGCATTCGGGAAGCGTTAGTAGATTAACACGTTCACTGTCCAAGGAATATAAATACAAAATTGACTTAATCGTCCAAAAACTTATCCTTAAAATTTTTATACAGGGTGGCTCAGCTAAATGGGATTACCTAAATATCTGCCTTATTTGTTGTTGTATGAAGAAACTTCTCAGGACAAAGTTAGACTATTTTAGGGAACATATGTAATCGTGGAAACGGTTTTTTCACAAGATCATTTTTTTTTACGAAATTTTAACAACCATATCATTCCCATCATTCAATTTCGAGATATTTGTATCTGAAGACGCACACACTTTAAAAAAATAACGATGACCTTGAAATCACGTAAAATAAATGACCTTGAGAAAAAACCGTTTCCACAATTACATGTGCCCCCTGACATAGTGTAATTTTGTACTGAGAAGTTTTTTAATACAACAACAAATAAGGCAAATATTTAGGTAATCCCATTTAGCTGAGCCACCCTGTATAGATTAATTTAAAATTTAAAAAGTCAAAAATGAGTGAGCGCCTAATAGTTCAATGTTTGCAATCAGTGCTGCTTCATGGATATTATAAAGAGACTTACGTCGAAGCTTGTGCGGAGCTCGCATCATTCCTCTTGTGCGGAAAATGCAGTCCAGGTGTATTTCCCTGAAACTCGTGTCAGATTAGAATGATTAAAATAAAAGGATAATACATGCACTACGAAAGCCTGTAAACATCCAAAATTATAAAGAACAGAGAAACAAGGAGGGAATCGAAGCACTACATTTGTGTTTAACAAAGTGAAAATAAAAATAAAGGATATATTCACGAGCCCACTTCATCTACAAGCATTCACTAATGTCTTATATCAGATCTCAGTTATAAATAATTTCCAGTAGATGAATTTCAATGGTGCAAGTATTTTGCACTGTACTTTTTCCTAAATGTATAGAAAAAGACGATTTCTGGAACTTGTTTACAACAGTGATTCAAATTGTACCGTAACAGAGTGTAATTTATATGCTGTTGAAAAGTGCAATGTGTATGATGAAACACAGAAGTATTTAGTAAAAGATATGGGGCCGTAGAGTGTCTACTAATGAACAAATAAAAGATAAAGTGAATAATGCGATAGTTACAGTTTGCTCTATAAAAGCACGGTGATATAATATTTGCCATGTTTTGTGAAACGATATAAAAGAGTTGTTTCTTAATATCAAATTTCAACATCAATTCGTCTACTTTTCACTTTTTGTTGGATCAAATGTAAATAAAAATTTTTTTAAAAATCCTCTATGTAATGCGCATATAGTTATCGTTCGTAAAATGTGAATTTCAGCATCCCTAGAGAAACTTACAAACATTCTCGTTTACATCTTTCATCTGTGACAACAGTGCAAACTAATATCATACAGAGCACAAAGCAAATGCTGACTTCTGGTTCACTGAATTTTTAAGTGGAATAAAAATTTAGTTTGGATAAACATTGTTTTATTCTCATAGGATAAAAATTCGTTGAAATGAAAGTCAGTATACCATAGTAATAGCACAATAGTGTGATTTGAGTGTTATATCTACCTTTTCTACTTTGTTGTGCAACTTCTGTAGTACGTCTTCGCATCGCTGTAGTGTCTCGATCTTCAGCCTATTTCATCGATAATACAGCGTGATTAATTCTGTCAATTTTGTTTTTATTAAAACTTTATAAGAATTATACATGTCTTTAGATATTTTTATAAGGGTGAAATGCTTGTAAAAAAGTATAGCAGAAGATGTAAGTAATGATAGAGCGCCTTTTGTAGAAAAGTAATTGAAATTTAAGTGACAAATTTTGGATAGGCAGCAAGGAGTAAAAAATAGGAGAACAGAATTCTAAAGAGTCGAACGTTTGAATATACGAACATTTAAAAATAATTAAACTCGAAAATTCAACTTTGGAAATTTGAAAGTTCAAAAATGAAAATTTGAAAATTAGAAAATTTGAAAATCAGAAGACTTGTAATTTAAGTTCCGTATAATAAATTCCAAGTTCAAGCGTGCGAACAATTAAATAGATACCAGAGACCACCACCGTGAACGAAAGGGAATGTTTTATTTCATACATGTCCAAACACCTGCGAAACGTACTTTCTCTTGCTGTTCGATAGGATTCCGTGTAGGCTTTGCATTTTCTGAAGCTGTACTTCGCGCGATTTGTCCTTAACGTTTTGCAACCGCTCTATCATCGCTTCCAAAAATGGAATGTACTTTTGCATCTCAGCGAATTTCTTGTCGTACTCGTCCATCTCGCTCGTTGTATATCGTTCACCTGTACCGGGAGAAGAAAATCTTTATACTCATTACACTTGCTGTTTTTATCAGAACAAAAACTTCTCGATAATGCTACTCGCTTTTATTATTTGTTTTTCTTTCCCATACTCTTTATTTCGATTATCTTTAATTATTCGCTATTCAACTGAGCACTCACTTAACTGTAATTTAAATGTTTAATAATAACCTACGCTTTATTCGTTAATACATCATTATTTATAGGCTTAAAATATTTCTATACTATGTCCGTTTTAAATGTACAAAATTTCTAGTGATATCACAAATACATTTTATACATAGAAATTCATCCGTTTTGTGTAATCATTCGTGATTTTGTAACACGATAACACAACGGTGAATTTTTTCCTTTGATTTCGTCAGTACTGCTTTTACACATTGTAATTTTTTCTTCGTTTAATTTCCACTTCATGTGTGTAAATTTTAAAAATTCTTGAAACTTTAGAATTTTTAAATTTCGAAAAAATATAGAGATATTGCAGAAACTTGCGCAAAAACTCAACACTATGCTTTGCCGTCGGAACTCAACTGTGAATATACCCAGGACTAGTTTATGGCTACAATATTTTTTACACTTTTCAGACATGTTTTCTATGTACTTAGCTATTCCTTTGGCTAATTAAGAATTTTTTCTTATCTTTCGTAACTGAAAAAACAGATACATACATTTAAACAGGACATACTGTACGCATAAAAATAACGTGGATAAATTATCGAAGGAATTATTTAAAATAAGAAATAATTTAAAATACATGCAGCAGTCTATATTTTTTTACTTCATAAATAAAAATTAACTCTTCTCGTTCTTCGACCGTTTATGTTCGTCTGACTTCACTCTGTTCATTTCTATAACTGTTGTAATCTGACCCGCACGTAATATTATCCTTCCTTGTTACTGGCTTAATCCTGCCTTTCAAGCAAAAATATAATACTCGACAAACGTACATTCTCTTCACATACAAATTCACAGTATTTGTTGTCACATGTTTCCTTAAATGATTCAATTTTTAATCCCATACCAACATGATTGTAATTACTCCAAACTATTTTTCAGGATTATTCTCATCTTAGCCCGTTAATACTCGTGGACACTCAAACAGGTAATCAATAAACGGGAATAATGAACGACACGGTTGCGTGAAATGCGTGTGCACAAAAGAAAGAAAGTGACGATTCGTGTATACTAGTTTATTTTCGTACACTATAGAAAAATCTCGCTTTGTACAAAGATTACAACATATAACATACAATTCATAATATATTAATCGATCGATCCCCAGCCTTAAGTAATTCCGCTCGATTAACCATACAACCACACTGTTTTACCGAGCACGCTGGAAACATAGTAACTTTAAACATGGTAACCTTCGTAACACAATACACAACGGGGGAATTATTTCGTATCACATCGATGCACCTCACTTTTTCGTGTTCTCTTTCCTCTTCGAGTCTTCTTCACATTCGTTGTAACACCATTTAACATAGAGAACCATGCTGTCACTTTTCACACCAAAATTCGGTTTTTCAATCAATTCGTTTCGTTAACAAATATGATCGAAGCCGTAATCGTAATCAGTAAAACACTGACGGCTAATTCAAATGAGTATCGCTGGTAAATTCTATGATGTTTACGCTTATAAATTGCAACGCGCATGCGTACTAAGCGTCCATCGACGAACTTATACCTCTAATCACGTTATCAGCAAAACCGATTTCGTACTCGATGTGGTTTCTTTCATGGCACGATCCTCGTGCAACATAGATCCAACGTCCGAAATTAACGCACTTTAAACTCACACTGAAAATAGTTGAAAACTATACGGGAAAATCACAGCCAGTAACACAGCTCACAGACAAATGAATGGGACCTATGGTTCAGTCCAAATTTCACTGAATTTTCGAAGCACGCAGGTAATGGCACCAACAATGGTTCGCTTGTCATAAATCACACCGAAATCGAAAGGCCCAATCAACTTACTTTAAACGCGTCATCTCTTGTTGACGATTGTACGTTTGTACATATTCGAGTGATTATTAAAATGGTTTTCGTACGTACCGAATCTCATGACTGTGCTCTATTCCAATCCTGAACACATACTTATGGTAAATTCAGTAGAACGGACGAGAAACATCCCCGTAAGACGTTTCTCTGGTTAGAATTTTACTGAGCACCAGCATGCGTGGTTTCATGATCATCTCGGGAGAGAGAGAGGAAGTAGATGGAGACACTGTCGAGAAGATTCGAAATCATCGGCAGATAGCAGCGCGGTAGCAAACATGGCGACCGAACGATATTCTACGATATCGTTAGACACAATTCTACTCTCACTTAAGATTTTTCAACGGGAAATATTGGAAACTGAAATAATTTTTTATAGCTAAATGATATTCAATATAATATACGATTGGTATAATTTTACGCAATCGTTACATATACGCGAAATTGCAAAGAGTTTTAATGTATCGGTAACTTTTTGCGATTATCCTAAAATCGTATTTAGAGGAATGGTTTTAGGAAGAGTTCTATAAGCTATAGGTCCCTATTTAGAGTATATTTAATTTCATGTAGTATAAAATAAGCAACACAATTGTTATTACGTTTTACTGTTAAAATAAATGAAAATCACATGATAAATTGAAGATATATTAAATAGAATACCGAGAATAATATTTCCGATTGATTATACTTGGAAGATCATTGCTAAGGACGTGTAGTTACTACTGCAGAACAATAGTAATAAGTAGAATATTTTAATTTATTTCACAATAAAGTGAATATGTGAGATGAAATGTTGCAATTCTCCTGACGTGCGATTATATGTAACTAAGTTGCATGAGTAAATTACACCTCCATTAAACACAATCGACTACATTGGGAAAGACAGCATATCGTATTTCAAGAAACCATTAATAAAGAAAATGCATATAAAATAAAACGAACAGAATTTTTAAATGAACAAAACTGGTTTATATCAAATTTTGTTTTAACAAATCTATATGACGTTCTCGAACGTTCTAACATGCAAAGAACAGGTCATAATTTGCGTTAACAAGCCGCCACATCCTTTCTCTTTCTAATTGTTTCTCTAACTGTTTCCATTTCTCTTTTTCTCTCTCACTTATCGTCGATATTGACTTCACAATGACGGACAAGTGATGCAATGCATTTTTTTTTTTTTACATAATCATTTTTTGCTTCAAAATAATTGTGCCTTGTAATCCCCCAAAATTTCTAAGTTTAATCATTCGAACTACTCCACGCGCAAAAGAAACGTCGTATAGTATTACATAAAATAAAATACTCGTCCCATTGCATTTCTATAAACACTGTGTATAATTTATCCCTATCAATTTTCCATTGCCATTCTATGAAGATTACGATCTACAATTTTTCTTACAAATAACGGGATGAGTATCCTATTCCTTACCAAAGAACGGATTCTTTGTCTACGACGACACACCTGATAAAACATTACACAGCAGAATATCGCCGTACGCATTGATCTTCTCTCGGCGTTAGCGTTTCGATCCTGCGTCCTCGTATAGACCTCGGCCACAGGCGACCCGAAAGGAACGAAAGTGTGAAATCCCGTGGTTCCCGACGTTAATGCACGTCTACGTGCACTCACCGCATGGAAATTGCTACAACTCTCTCACAATGTCGCAGTTACCGTTGGAACTGACACTTTTTTTCGAAGTTCTGCAGCGCGCTCTATAATTCTGCATCACCGGCTAGAGGAACTAGACCATCGCGATGAATATTTGAGCATCGAAATTCTGATTCGGCGTACCAGCAGCTTAATTGTCCGATAAAACGTCACTTCCTACGAACGCACGCACAAGACACACGTTTACTATTCCGTGACTGCCTCGACGTCCCATGAAAAGGTGTACACTTGAGCCAGTATAAAGAATCGCGTGTACAACAGGTATACGCCTCGAAACCGGCGGCACTCTCCCGACGCTCAACGTTTCAATGAACTTCTCGTCTAACTCATAACTACGATTTCGACAATGAATTTCGTTAAGATATTTTACAGTTCCGTACACGGTTTTCGATTTATTCATTAAATAATTTTGCTAGCACGGTGTACACATTCCTTTCTAATATCTTGATGCACTTCGAAGTCTCACTGATACGAGACTTCGGACATGTTTCGGTCCACAATAATTCGTCGTGGCAACTCATTAATTTCTGAATGCATACACACGTCATATAGAATGACAATACATACGAACACATAACTATATTACCTACGTATATCACAAATGAACAATTCGATCGTACAGAGGAAATTATCCCTCTCCCAATATGTCGCGAATGTAATTCTGTCAAAATACTGAAGACCGGATTAATCTTATTTAAAAGGTAATGTGCCCTCTTAATTAGTATCGCACCGCTTACTCGAAAACGAACGAAATGGCAACCCTGAAGGGCGCACAATATACAATGGCTGCCATTAATGGCGCTAGACTAAATGATTTCACGTGAATCTGCCGATACATCTGCCATATGTTACTCACCTTTTATCACGTCCGCATATTCACGGCGTGAATTTTTCTATTTTTTTCTTTCGCTTTTTTTTAGGGTAATTACTTACGTTAATGGAACAATACATTGAATAACTTTCAATCGAGAAACGAAACGGTTTTTATTGTTTTAACGGGAGTTAATCTCGAATGGGGCACAAAACACAGTATCGATTACATGTCGTTCGGAGAGTCAATCGTTTTCATGGCTAATAACATGTACATCGTTTGATTCTAAAAATAAATGAACGTCGCACAAAACGTAGTGTGGTTCTGTTAATTCCTTCAACGGTACACTCATTTAACAATAACTGAAACTACCTAAACGTCGAAACAAAAACTAGAAATCGAGGATGCATGCACGTTTATTGAGTGAATATCGTCTTCAAGGAAAGATTCCTAAAAGCAGGATTTTGTTTCAAGCTTCGTTCTCGTAACAGAATCAAAGTCTGACAACTGGTTCAGTATTATTCCTCTAACGATGTCTTAAGTCTTCCACCAAAATCCAAAATTCCGGAAGTAATCGAAAGTAATACGTAATTTCGAATACTATATATTTTGAAGTTGATTTACGTATTTGATAATCGTATATCCCGAAGGACAAGAGTAATGCACCTTCGACTAAAGAAGTACGCCATTTGCACTCAGTAACGTTTCTTGCAATCCCCACTTGGCAGGTTCGGGAACTCTCGGTGATGAGAAACGAGTTTAGGCGGGAATACCCGAAGTTCTTGTATCAGGTTCGATAATTATTTCGTATTTTGCACAAATACATAGTAGAGCTATTAATAGAACACGAAACATATTAAATGAAAATAAACAAACATTATTGTCATAAAACAAATTGTAATATGAGATCATTAAAAAATGTAAAAATTCTCTGTAAAAAATATTTACATTAGTACACAATTATAAACTTTTTACCTTTTGCGATAGAAATGATATTAACAAATAATAAACAACAGCAAAAAAATTGTAAAAAAATACATTTTACTTTCCATTTAAACGCTAGTTATTTAAATTAAATTTAGCATATAAAACCTGTATAGCATGGTATAATCACACTTAAGAAGTAATAAGGTTTTCATTGATATTTCGCAATAAAAATACACCAAAGAAGTGTTGGATTTTTAGTTCTTACTATATTAATTTTAATTCATTTCAGTAAATAAATGAAATGACTAAAATTACAATTACAGTTCTTTGTATTTATTTGTGACGTTTTCCTCGATTTCACATAATGTAATATTTAGTAACTTTATTTACAACTTATCAGCCCGACATACGGACCAATAAACTTTAGTTTGCTTAGGATTTGAATTATTTACAAAAATTTTCGAATTACGAAACAACCGAGTCCGTGAATTATTCACGGAACAGAATTCTTTCATCACGGTTCTATAATCAATAAAGCGCAAAACACTATTACTCCCTTTTTATTTCTTAAAAAAGTTGAATTAAAACTTCTTTACAATTTTGTAAGAAACATCTTTTTTTTCCACCAAATATTGGTCAACCGTTATCATTCTTAGAAATGAGTCTAACGTAAATGCAATTTGCTTCATGAAGAACATCTTGTTTAAATTGTTCTCGTTATATTTGTTTTCTTTATACATAGATTTCAATTGTAATAGCCTCTCCTAAGGCAACAATGTTGTCTGAAAGTGATATTTGAAAACAAATGTCACTGCTATTTACTTTTTTTTTTTTTTTTTTGCTTTTTTGGTACTTAATAACACTAATACATTTATTGTTGGCAGTACTTGTAGTAATTACATTCCAGGCAAATAACTTCCAACGATTTTGTCTTTTATGTAGTACAGTTTTGCATAATTATGGACGCGTTACGTGAGTCTAAGAGTGAACAGAGATTGATTTGAACAATTAAAAATGTGATTTTGAACATTATACCTTCGACTTGTACCGAAAAACATTCAAACAACGAAAATACTAAAAATGAGATCTCTTAACTATACTGAATAAGACAATATATTATATGTTTTGCTAATTTTTTTTTCGTAAATGAACGAAAATGATATGCTTGGAAAGCCCCGAAAAGTTTCATCACATTTCCGACAGGTTATATTATGATCGTGTCTGCAGCACAGCTGCAGTATGTATAGTCTACTAAACTTGAGTTTCTGTGTTACTCTGTGAAATTTCACTCATCTAGGAGTGCTGTTCTATAATGAATACATAAAAGATTTTGCACTTGCAAATTATTTTTGTAATCAACATTTAATGTACAATTACGTAATTGCACGCTAAATTTTGACAAGTACATTCATGATTACTTCGAGACATTTTAAATTATGATGTTGCACTTATTAAAAGAGTATATCGTCAAAAATTCACCTACAAGATTGCGAGAAAAATTTAGACAAGTAAAAAGTACATCCAAACATGAAAATGAATTTTATTAAATAGAGTATCGTGAAAACAACGTGTAGACTTAACAGGAGTTCATGAATTTTGATAATTCAGTGAAATCGTCTGAATAATTACTTCATGCATGTTAACAGAAAGCAAATATAGAAAAATACTCCTCACCCATTTTTTTAATATCATGTTGGAATTTTTTTAATATCTTTGTTGAGTTTAACAATATTATGATGTATACACAAGCAACTGTATCTTTCTTATGTCATCCTGAGAAAATGCAATTGCATACAACTGATACAAGACTTCGGTATAAATTAATTCATCAACCAAGTAA